CTCAACTATTACGAAAAAACGGTCCTTTTTAGAATCACCATCAACTATTGTTGTTCCAGAGTTCATTTTTGATGATCGTTCGCTCGCCTTTCTGCCAGCCAAAGCTCTTCGATAATGTACCCAGCAACCAAATGTTTGTCGTCAAATGCGTAACAGTATTGAAGTAGGAATTGGGAACAAGTTTTCTTCATGTTTCTATCAAAGAGAGCTGAAGTATTGAAGTGGTATATACAAAATCTCGCAATGACCGAATACCACATGACCATGTCAATTAACCAGAAACACTTCGGAAGGTTTTCTCCAGGACGCTAGAAAAAGCAAAAAAAAATCTAGAATTCATATGATTGATCGCGATTGGAAAAATTTGAGCAAAAAAAATCCTCAAATCAATAATGGGGAAATGGCTCTAATGTTTGCCTGTGGATCTAAGATTGGGCCCATCGCTAAAATTCTGCTATTTATCAATTTTATCTAGATGGGACGGTACTAATGGAAATTTTTGTTTGGTATTGAAAATTTAGTCGATTGTTGAATTAGGGGCATTTAGGCCGACATTGCATTCATTTCCCCTATTCGCTTTTTTATTATCTATTGAATAAAACAAAAATTCCGTGCTTTTTGAGCACGTAAATGCGTATTTTTGTAATCAGAAAACGAGGCGTTTCTGTCATGGGAAAAGTGTCAAGCACTGAGCATGCCAGACGGTAATAATCTTTATGCATTTTGGTGCAAATGTTAGGCCCCTCCTACTAAGAGCATTATGCCAAAAAAAAACCTTGCCGAATTCTCTTAATAGAAGGGGCTTAAAATTTGCATCAAAAAGTATAAACGTGGGTACCGTCCGGTAGGCTCAGATTCTGTGATTGATGTGTTTTCCCTAATACGGGAAATGGCTATAATGTTAGTCTATAGATCTAAGATTGGGCCCATCGCTAAAAATCAGCTATTTATCAATTTTATCTAGATGAACGCTTCATTGGGACGGTACTAATGGAAATTTTTGGTCGCCATTGAAAATTTAGTCGATTGCTGAATTTATGTATGCGTCCAAATTAGGGGCATTTAGGGGGGAGAGGTAGCTCATCGATTCTTCCGGTTCACCTCCTAGCATCGTGCTATAAGGTACCAGGCGATAACCAGGGTAGTTGATCGATAGCTCGATGACGTCATTTCGTTGGCGTCTGCAATGGGAAATTCTCATAGCAGGCGTTGACGATGGGACGTTGTCGAGTTGTTGAATGGCAACTATCTAGGTAACTCACCGATTACCTGTTGATCTGCCAAATTTGGAAAGACGTCTGCATTGAATTGTCTCATATAATAATATTCCGCCCACTATATCACAAGAAATTGCGAGTAGCTGAGTGGAATGGAGATAAGTTAAGCATTGGGTACAGGACCAAGTCTTCCCTGGGTGGTGCCAGAAGATGAGCGCAATAGAATCATCAAGTTGCCATAAGGCACGGAATGAGACTGTTGCATGGCTGGGTAGTCAAAGTCTTCCATTCGTTAGTCATTTCAGGTGGATTAGAACAGGTTTAGGTGGGCGTTGGTCAGATTTGGATTTTTCAGATGTAATCCTGGATAGGACCCTGTCATTGAACGTCGCGTGAAAGTGGAACTTAATGAAGGCCTAAGTACTTTTTCGTAGTTTTTAGTTTTCGGATTTGAAAGATCGTCGGTTATAGTGGCCTGCTTACTGAGCAGAAAAACGTGGCCCCAGGTCCTTACATATCAAAGAGATTTATGGTAAAATCGCTTGTGTATCGTGTATTTTGCGAAACTCGTTGTTGTCGTTGGTTCCGGGTTTGAATGGATACAAAAATTTGAGCAACGGTATTATGTGATATGAGGGGCTCGGTGGCCTTAGAGCAACCGTTTTTGCTTACTGAGGAGAACATCATGAGTCTAATCTCAGGCCCTTCTACATTCAAGATTCGTCAATCGTTTTATTTGTTAATATGACTACATGGTAATAACAGCAACTCGGTGATTAAAAAGGTGCTCGTCAGCCTAGTGGCAAACGTTTTTGCTTACTGAGCAGAAGACCGTGGGTTTAGTCCCAAGCTCCTTCGCGTTATATGATCGTTAGGACATCAATTCAGCTTATCGTTTACCAAAACGAACCCTGCTGCAAACCCAACCCTCTTATCCAACATCCCAGTGATTCCTCGTGGAAGTGCAGAGGTGTTCTCGGCTTCCATCAAAGCGAGTGTCATGTCAACACAATCCTTCCCATTCCTTTCTTGACCTGTATTCGGGCGCGGCCGGCGCTGGTATTGCCTAATTTAAGATCACCAGTTTTTACACATTGAGGATGATTGCTAGTCCCAAGCATCGTCTATTGGTTCTCTGTGTAATTACAGCTGATCTGGCAATAACAGAGTAGTAACCGTGGGCGGTCAATCAAGCTCAAGCTCAAGCAAGCTCAAGGGGCATTTAGGCCAACATTGCATCCATTTCCCTTACATATTTCATTTCCGCACCGCTATCATTTCCAAAAACATCGAGGAAAAATGTCAGTATTTTTCTTAACTAGCTTCCAAGCTTCCAACCCATCGGTCCTTTTCAGGACCACAAATGGCTAATAAAAGAGTAAACTAAAGAGCAAGAGCTTGAATCCAAGACATTTCGTCCAGGATTGGCTTGTACTGTATGAACATCGACAGAGCACCTCAGAAACAGAACTCTCAAATTGTATCCGAATTTCAACAAATCGATTTTTTTCACTGATAACAAGTTGAGAAATCAATTTAATATTTATTATACTTTTGCTGTGACTTCATAACTACCTTTCGCAATCCTATGTCAAATCTACGGTCGTATAATGGATACAACCTCTTACTTTTATATTTCTTGTGAAAACCCCTTCAGATGACTTTTAGAGCTTTTAATTATGAACATATTTTCCAAATACAATAAATTAAAATTTCTTTACTGTCACGGTGGGATTTTTTCCTTATTAGAGATTTGAATAGATTTTTCTCCTTTACTTTACTAAAACCTTTGGTTATTATTAGTTAGGTAGGTTCCGATTCTACACATTGTAGTTTCATTTTTATACCTGTGATCTTGACATTTTTACCTAGGGGATGAGTACTTAAGGGGGTTAGGTTTTTGATAAGTCTTTAGTGGGAATGACACTGATGAAGACTAAACATTGTAGTCGAAATACGTATCTGTCATGGATACCAACATTATTTAAGTGGAATTAAATGGAAATAACCCTTTTTGCTGTTTTATAAATACACTTTGTTAGTGAATTAAGTAAAACTAGTGTAAAGTTTTAGGCCATTTTATTTTCAAATGTTGTTTATTATCATGTTTCTTTCACATATAAATTCAATTTGCAGGATTTTATTGAGAGTAGCCGAGTTTTATAACTTTTCCATTGGCACTGATCACACTGGCTTTTGCACAGTACCTTCGCCTATCATTTTTACCACTTTAGATTAATCTTTCTTGAGTTTTTCAACTGTATCCACTGGCATTACTGAAATTGAATAGTGGCAGGAAGCAAAATCAGGCCAAAGGATCACAGGTTTGTCATGCTGCCTGATGTAATCTGTTTTGCAGACATCCCTAATAAACAAATACCAAAAACGAACGATAACTCAAATAGTCGAACTTTTCCATAAATTGTTTGGATGATGCCCCGAACACGTCGTTAAGCAAAATAACCCTACAACTTTTATTAGGGATTCCTTCACGTAAACTTTGCTAAACCATGACCTTCTTGCCAAATTGTTCGGGTGTAAATGGCTTTGACCGATTCGGGAACATTCTTTCCTTTGAGCGAAGTGTTGAACTGCGGTCCTGGTAGAGTCTGATAATCGAGTTTCACGTATGTCTCATCATCCGTGATTATACAACCCGATTTTTTCCCCAGCATGGAGTCGTACAGTTTCCGAGCTCTCGTCTTCACAAATGCAGCCTGCTTTTTGCTTCGTTTTGGTTTCTTCTGCTTCCGATGGGTTTCGCACTGATGCTGATGGATGCTACTTAAAACGATCTCTTATCTTCCGGTCGATTGTAGGGTCACTGGGGCCAGGTTTGCTTCCACGCCTCGGAGAATTTTCGAAAGTGCATGATTCTTCATACTTCCGTAATGCAGTTTGTACTGCTCCAACGCTCACACACTCCTCCTTAGCTAGTTTTCTTAAGGAAAGCCCACTCACGGTACACCATTTGTTCACAATCCGTTTTCTTTGTTCAGGAGTAAGGCCACACATTTTCACATTTCCTTGCAAAATATTCAGTAAAACAACCGAAAAACTTGTAGATGTCATAAGAAAGAGATTTGTGTCAGAAAGTAGATTTATTATTTTTATTAATATTACTATTCCATACCCTATTATATCTACTACACTGATTACCTGGGGGCACGGATCGATCGCTTTTTGGAGCATCGTTGATTACTTTTTAATATAGAAAGGTAACGTTAGATCCAATTGAATTTTAATTTAATCCATCTTAAAGAAGATAGATTAATACTATTATTATCAAGATCAAACTTAAAAAGATTTGCATCGTAGAACCACACTCTTTTTTTCACTGAAGGTGTTCTCGAGTGTAAGCGACAGTCAGGCCAATTATTTGAGAAACCGCATAGGTCCATTCAATGCTGAAAAAAGCTAACCATTCTACGGTTAATTCACTATGTTTAAAGGCTTAGACTTACAAAAAATAAAAAAAAAAATACGTTCTCAAGTCGCAGCTAGTAAAAATGTTGCCCAGAACACTTAAGCAAGATCCAATATTCAAATTCCATACGACACGCTCAGCGGCGCGGCGGCACGGTTTCGGAAATTTGCTCAACTTAACGCGCGAGGCCCAAACGATGATGTCGTTAGCATTTCATCGTCACTTCATTCCTCCGTTTTTCGTCACAATAATCTACCAAGTTGAACCACAAACACTTACACAAACCTCTCTTAAAACTGAGACTATATTTATAAAACCTAACTTCGAAAAATCACAATATTTGCCTGCTCCCGTGGATCATTCAGTAGCATTTCATCCGCCGAGGGAGCGGTTTCGAAATTTTGCGTTGCCGCGTCCTCGGGAAGATTTGGATTGGAGACCAACCACCAATCAGAAGCGTGTGCAGGGAGGGAGTGAGGGACGTTGACGAAGAAAATGATGTGTGAAATTCGGTTAAACATTCTCCTGGGATGCGAAGAATATACAATCTCGTCATAATTGGACCGGTGTGCTGTGAGTGGAAAACGAGCCCGAACCTGTGGCTGGAGCAAAGCATTAATAATAAAAGATGCGGTGTTTCTAAGATCCGTGAGTAAGATCTTTGTTTTTGAGAAGAAAAGTTCGCGTTGTCGTCGCACGGTGAAAAATGGCCACAGAGCGCATGTCTTAAAAGCAATTAAAATGGATTAGTGCAACGGATGTGAATTAAGTCATTGAGAGTGAAATTTTACGCGAGTGTGACTAGACGTGTCGGTGTGCCGTAAGATGTGATTCGCTCAAATCGATTGCAATAAATCTATTGGAATGATTTTTAGTTGTGGATGCTGAAGTTCGAAGAATTCACGTCATGATCGTTAAATTGTGAAGAAACATACATTTCTTTTTACAAGGAGAGAAACCTTCATAATCCTACTTGCTGCTTCCGATGCGAGAGGTAAGCTACCGGTCAAGTGCTCCGCGATGACGGAATGATGGTCGGACAGCTTTGACAGGACAAATCCGCCTATTTATAATGATGGCTTGACGATGATCTCGATGAGAGGAAATGTGAGTGGGCCTGAACAGGAAAACCCATGGTGCAAGCACCTAGCTACTGCTGCCTTCGGTATGAATCAGACCAGTCACGGAGATGAGCTAAGTCTGGTGTGCGGTGTACCAACGGCGCTCTGTCCCATGACATGGCATCAGTCACTGACGATGTCAGACAGCAGGCGGCGTCGAAGTAAAAGGTTTTGTTAATTTCTTTTTAAATGCGGCGTTGCTGATTCAGACCGTGGCATTCTGAACCCATACTGGATCGGTGAACTGTGAAAGGGTATATTTGTTGAAGCACTTCGTTACTTTGACACAAGAGTTGCTGATTCGAAATCGAAGTTTTCTTTTAGTTTTTTTTTGTTTTCTTGTTACAGAATAATGCCAACTAATGGATCTGAAATTTGGCAGTACAAAAAAGGGCGTAGTGCTCAAGTTATGTAGCTACTTGATATTACGAAAACTTAAAATCCCTCTTTTTTCACTTGAAACCTAATCTTCGGGGCCTTTCTGAAGTAGTGATGTTTGAGTATTTAGTAGTGATTAATATACGCGTGTCAATCAAAAGATAAATAATTGGGTTCTTTAACGGTATTGAGGTAAATACGTATTCTTTATCTGCTTTAAAAATGGCACCGTAATCCAAAATTTCATTGATTTTGATGCACTGGAACTATTATAAATAAGTGCGATTAGTGCGATGTTTAGGGTCAAACAGCAAAGTTGAAATTTTACTTTACCGAGAAGAAAGTCTATATGATCGAACAAAATATCGTTGTGCTCAGAAAACGCAACTCTTCCAGAACCGATATATTTTGTTTTACAAAATTAAAGAATCCAATTACATCGGAATTAAATGGTAATATTATCCAAAAGGTCTGCACTTTCAATTTTTCTTTGACTTGCGTAACATTTGAAAAGGGCCTATCCTCCTTGATCGATTCTCTTCATCGAATTTCTCTTTGGTTTACCACGGCAACATAAATGAATTTCTCGCTAAGCTCGCAGCACAGTTCGACAGAAGATTATGTTAGCTTGCGCCTGAAACAACGCACTCAATGGGAAATTCATTTGCAGTCTGGTTATATGCGAAAAAGAAAATCGATGAAGAGAATCGATAAACAATTATAGCATAGAGGTAATGCTAAGGCTAGAAGGTTCTGAAATAACGTGCTCAACTTTTTGGCTCAGCTCTGGTACACGGCGAATGAGAACGACTCAAATTTGAGTTTAGTTCACTCAAAATCGCCAAAAGTGCAGGAACTCAGCGATGAGTTAATTTGCCTCATGTTTTCCCAGGTTTTTCCAGGATTTTCCAGGGAAAAATTCCCGAATTTTAGAAAAGTAAAGATTGGATTCACTCAGTATATTTGTACTACTCCGAGACTGAATAAAATTTTCGTCAATTTCCTCATTTTTTGGCAGATTTTTTAGGTTTTCCACAGGAAACTATGAGACAAATTTTACTCATCGCTGAGTTCCTGCACTTTTGGCGATTATGAGTGAACTAAACTCAAATTTGAGTCGTTCTCATTCGCCGTGTACTCTCTTCGGTCCCAAGCTAATCGATTCACCCCTCGAAACATAGTTAAAACCAATAACCCCTCATTTTACCTGTCAAACTTTCATAGCGAATCAAAACAAACACTGCGTAGTACTAGAATTTCGACTAGAATGGGGTACGTTAATCGTTTGCTTGGGACCAATAGGCTAGTCAAGTAGTGAGCCAATTTAAAATCGTTAGTTTCGTATTGATTGTTGATTATAGGCCCTTTTCTCGTATTGCGCGAGAAAGCTGAAGCCAGGTTTGTTTTCCTCATGGCATTTTTTTTTTTAGATATTTGTCCGGCAACACAATTGACTGAAATATAAGTAAAAATTACTTAGACTCAGAAGCCAAGCATCATTTTCGATGAGTTTGTTTCAGTTGAAACACATTCTTATAAATTTATTATCATTGTTCTTTAATTCCGTTTCTTACCAGGTGTGATAACCGCGGTTGTTGTGTGGTCTATTGTTCGGTTGGTACGTGTGATAGGTGAATCATAATCAGTGCGCAAAACAGTCAGGTTCAATGAGTCATTTTCATATGAATATGAACTGCCATCTGCTGCCTCGTGAGAGTCTGAATGGCCACACGTCGCCAGCCTTGAAACTTGATGCTTTCTGAAAAAAAAAATGGAAACCGTGATTGTGATCCAACATGCAGGCTTTCCACGTGGCTAATTTCGTTGTGTTTGGAAAAGTCACTCACGATTTCTATTGTCGCATATGCTGGACTGTGCTATGCTTTAGATGTGTTAAGGTTTATTTTGATGATTCTACATACCATATCAATCAGGCTAAAGCCTTGATGTTCTCTGCTGTCCAAAGAAGTTGTCTCCACTTTACTCGATCAATGACCACACGTCACCATCCTCGTAATATCCAAGAAGGTGAATTCAACGAGTTTCTACTCAGCAACTTTTCTACCTAATTCATTCCATTGACACTTTAATCAACGGAAAGGGGCGTCATTTTCATGGTTTACCATGGGCGTTGAAAACCCTGTCTTAAATCTAATTCATTGAATACACTGATTTTTATTTTATTTTTTAAACATATCCCGTTCAATCAGAAACCACATAATCGAAGAAATTACCTACCACTTGACCTCGGTCATACCCATCCCCATACATCGGAAGGCAACTCTGTGTTTTCATTATCAATCTATTCGCTCGAGCTATTTTACCCACACTGCATCCGTCTCTCCGCTCCTCACCCTCCATCATCAACGAGATCATTTAATGTACAATTTAATTACCTACACCCACCACTCAGCGGGATATAATTGTCCCACCCACTCCGATCCGGAAAAGAGGTGCACCACCAACAAATCTGTTGCAGTTAAGATTGTCTTCCTTGGCGCACAATACACGATATAATAAATAAATGGCTGCACTCTCGAATATGCCACACCGAAAACTGAGTGGGTGGTTCATTCAAGGGAAATAAAGGCTAACATGTGTCAACAACGGGTGCGCTTGTCGTTTCGGTAGCATGTATCTATTGTGGGGGTAATCGCTCAATCGGAAATGTGTTTAATGATTCCAGAAGAAACTGGTGTACCTACATCATGCGGACGATCGTTGGGAATTTCGCATCAATCGATTTGCCATTTGCTTTGTTTGCATTTGTTCCGATAGTTTCAGTAAGCAGCTCTACAAAAACTGAACATTTCAATGGGCTTAAAATTCTTCGATTGCGTAATAAATGCGGTATACCTAGTTGCTGCCACTGCACCGCGCTGCAACGGTTGCTGGTCGCCGGCAGTATGCACCCACTTGTGTTTTAGTATTGCATCCGTAATCGCAAATATTTGCCGGTTGGAAATGATCACAATCACGATCTCCGATCACGACACGCCGGCCGTCGTCGTCGTCGTCGTTAGAGAAATGCACACGATGAGTGAGTTGTGCTCGATTTGCAAGTGCGTTGCTGCTACCGGCTGGAGCGATGATGGCCGTCCACTACGTTTGCACTACAAATTGGCTGAGTTTTGCTGTACCGATTCTGAGATGTGTTTACTTTCAAGCAGGTGAACTATTTAGGCTTAAAATAGATGTATGACCGATCAGTATTGCAAACGAGGTCATCTGTTGATTGAAATGGTGCAATCTGCTTCTTCCTCGTGGACCTTGGTGACTGTTAAAAACTTAATTCTTTTTTCTTTTAGGATCACCAAGGCGTTTTAAACACATTTCCGGTTATTTTCGATACATCGTTCAATGGAAGAAGCTTTAATCTAGCAACTAAAATGACAAACAGGAGGCGTTTGTAAGCCGAGTTATGAACGAAAGAGGACATTGATTAAGAAAATCAACTAACGTAGGACCTTTTGACCAAGGCTTTCCGGATGGTAGATAGATACATTTTGAATTCCCTCACTATGTAGCGCTAGTGTGCATGCAATCTTCAGTGATGTGGTATATTTCAAGATCCTACCCATTTAGCTTCTAGGAAGTTTGATTGTTTGTGAAAGTTGTTTAGGTGGCCATATTCTTTTAGATGGTGAGAACATTAACTTAGTATTCATTCAGTTCGCGACGCAATGTGAAGCTTTTGATAAGCTGTATCATACGATCTAATTGTTGTTTTCAGAAAAACTGACGGTCTTGCTTACTATGGAAGATAAATAAGATCAGGATTAGAGGTGCTAGGTTTCTGTAAAAATTACGTATCTACGATGGTCACCGATTTTCAACCCTGATGGGGATGATAAAGTAGAGGCCTGAAATCGATGTTAGATGTTATTTTAGAACAATAGACGGTGATTTATGGATTCTAGAATGCTTCAAATACCATAGAATAGAGGAAAAAAAATCATGGCTACTATGTCACACTGCAGAATACAGTGTTGCTCACAATACAGTTGCTTAATCTTGCCATTAGATTATCAATCTATTAAACAATTAATAACTATTTAATTTGACGTTTGGCTGAAAAACGATTTTCGGCAAAGTTATAGCTGATAAAAATTCCCATAAGAATAGCAATAGAATTTGTTAACAGTACAATATGTAAAAAGGCTATAAAACAATGAACAAAAATGTTTGTTTTCTCATAGTAATTTCCATATAAACTTCAAATGGTTTGTACCATGTTAGTTTCTTATCAAATGAGTTTAAACTTTCGGAGGCTAATCAGGACCCGATTTGAAACCGTTTGAACACTGTGGAGCGAAAATTTCAAATTTTGCATCAGTCTAACACAAACAAACAGACTTAACTCTTTGAAAAACTTGTTCTTGAAAACATAGTATCTCAAAACATATAACCTCAGTAACGACATCTCTCTGGCTTCTCGCGGAAAACAAGCTTGCTCGCTAACTCGTAAACAATATTGCATAAAAATTCTATAGACTATATAGAAACGTCAAAGTGATCCGATGCCAGCGCTGCGACGAGTAGTTCGCGGAACTGATAATATTCAAATCAACCGTTAAATGCATGAACGAAGATACACAATGAAGAGTTACGTCTGTTTGTCTGTGAGTCTAATGTACAGGTTCTGAATATTCTCCAAAAATTTGAGTTCATTTGGATGCGCTTTCGTACTGCACTGTTGGCGAAGAATTTCTATAGTAGTTTTCTTTATCTTTTATCTTTCTTTATTAAAGAGACTTTCAGCCGGCGGCTGGTTCATCTCTGAGAAGTAGTTTTCTGATAGTCTGAAAGTGAACTTGACAGGTTTTAAGTGTCAAACTCTTGCCTTTCATCCTCTTCTTGTATCTAACAAGTACAAAATATCTTTATAAAATTTATTGTTTTTAAAATTCCAAAAATCATTTTTTTATAGCAAGTGAGTGGAAGCAACCCTGCTGGGAACTATCTGCCACCTTTCCCCTTCCAGTTGCCGTATAAAACTCCTACCCAAGAAGCTGTTTGAAGTCTGCCTTGACGTAGGTTTCGTCGTCCATTACCAAGCAATCGAAGTTCGTCAGCATCGTCGTGTACAGCTTTCGGGATCGTGTTTTGGCTGTCTTGTTTTGTTTATCGTTGTGATTTTAAGTCACTACCTTCTTATAGTCGACAGTCCGGCTCGTTTTTCAACTTGATGCACGGTTGTCGACGACACTCCCAGCTTGCTTGTGACATCTCTGACGGAGAGGTTGGGGTTCCGCTTGAAACTGCTGGCCACTCTTTTTGTTGTCACTGTGGCTTCCGGCTTTCGATTTCTTCCCGATCCAGGCTGTCGACAAACGTTCCCCGAACACTTTTATTACAATTACGCTAACTCGGCGTGCGAGTAGATCGGATTTTCACGTTTCGACTGCATATTTTTGATGTGTTGCTCCTCTTGCTTTGACGCTATTTTGATAACTGAAGAGCAAATGTCAAAATCAAAATATAGGTATCATTCTGCACGCACGCACCTACAAAATTAGGGGTGATCTGTTTTTTTAAATGCTCGATTAAAAGAAATGCCTCAAGTTTAAATCGACCAAATATTGATCGTAACACCCTTTAGCCTGGATTTTTGTGCCCTAGTTATTATTCCCGCCAAGTGCACTAATGTTGACTGCTGAGCATTTCAGAAGAACATCATCGTCCTAACTAAGTAATAACCAATTATTCTGACGTTCAATTAAAAAGTGGTCTTCAGCAAAGTTCTAGCAGAGGTACAGATAGCAAGTTTACCCATAAATCATTATGGCGAAAGGCTAAGACGAGGAGAACTCCCATATAAACTTCAAAAAGCCAGTGCAGTATGAGATCACAATCAAATGAGCTCAAATTTTGGGTGAATGGTCAAGACCTGATTTAGAATCGATTAGGCTTGGTAGAGCAAAATCGGTATTTTGAAGCACCCTAATTATCGAGTCTATCACTCTAACCACCCCGTGAAAGTACACCCGTGGCATATTACTGATTATTGAGACGTGTAAATCTTATTTGGTATTCTGATAGTCGACGTGCAGAGCGACTGGAGTCTCTCACGTCACAGGAAGTGATTCTCGGAATACGATCATGAACTGGCGATAGCGAGTCACCTGACGTCACAAGGCATGCTGAAAGTCCCTGATTATTTTCAGCATTAGTTTTCAAAACAAGAATTACGTGATGCATCAATCCACTCACTTGGTGCTTCCTAAGTTAATGAGCTGTATCGTAAGAAACGTGATCCCGACCAACCATTCGTGAAACTTCTTCAAAGTTCTTTATACAAAAATAAAGATTAATGTCGGTAATTCTTTACTTTCAAGTTTCTTTAATTTCTACTTTGGTTTGTTTTTTCCGTCGATCTTGTTTTCCGTGCTGAGCACCAATGCTACCGACGTGCCAGGAAGGCAGTTCCCACACCTGGACCCTACCTATCGACCCATCAACTCATGAACCGGGGACCAATGGCTTTACTTCCCATCCGAAGGAAGGCGTGATCAGAGATGTTATGCCTCAGAACATCCCGGCGGCGCCGACTGGGATTGAACCCAGGCCTGCTGGGGTGAGAGGTAATCACGCTTACCACTACACCACCAGCGCCGTTATTTCTTTAATTTCGATGAATATATTTAAAAACCTTTATTGATCGATACTTACATTTAAGATAATTTTTTATCGGTCGCATGATAGTAATCTATAAAGATGCCATACTAAATCTCGTCTAATTTCGATGTGTCACAAGGACTATAGTTTTCTTTATAAATATTCATCTAAAAATATTTGAATACTGATACCATCGTAACGTTGAACTTTGGCAAAGAACAATAAAGATTGCCATCGATGCACATTTATAATCTCCTTGTTATCGATTTGCATCGCTGGGTAAAGAGAGTTTGATACACACTAGATGACAGATAGCAATGTTTATATTAGATATCGACAAATTTGGTTCTTCATCGAGAGAAGCATGATCAGCCGGAAAATTAATGAGAAGACTAATGAATAAAGATTAATTAATGATCAATGGCCACGATGATACAAATGTTTGCCATTATAGTTATTTAAGTTTACGTTGATACGCTCTCGGCCATTTCTTAAGAATCAGCAATAGCAAGCGTGGTTGAATTCTCGGCATTTTGAACCAAATGAGGGAACTTGATACTTTGGTTATGGATATGACAAATAAATTTTGAATTCATGCTTGAAAAGATGTGCATAAATTTCAAAACACCATATAATAGAGTGTGATTGCCAGTCGTTAAGAAGCTCATCAACAGCAGCTGTAGACCCGAGGATTAGCTACCAACAAAGAAATCAGTAAACCTTAGATGGCACGGGATCAAAACCTAGCAATTGTGCAGATAAAAAAAAAATCCCAAATATATCAGTATTGTTATTTTGATCTGACCAGATAAATCAATATTTTGATCTGGCAACACGAATCGATATTTTTTACATAGGTATTTAACGATTAGTAGCAACATTTTGATAAAGATGCTTATAAATGATTCACGATCAGGTTTTTAGTATCTTTACATTTATTCATTAAATGGTGACGATCGCTATCGATTTTTCATATGAATGTCTTTGAAGATCTATGTATTGAAAATTAAAGAAATTTAACGAAATGGTTGGTCGGGATTAGGTTAAACCGAAGACAACAAATCAAGAAGACTGGCAACTTTTCCATTTTCCCATACGAACGCTATGAGACAGGTACAATCGTGTCATCTGCAGCTCAATGATGCTCAATGCTTCGAACGCGTTTGATAGCAAAGATTACATCCTCAGAAGAAAGGTTTGTGTATTTGCTCATTTTTCTATGCGTTGCTTCCACCTTCAATCAAGCGCAGCGCTATTGTATCTGTCGCTTGGATTCTGATAAAGTTGACAGTCTTCTTGATATGATGTCTCCGGTAAACCCAAGCTTCAAAAGAACCTATATATAGCTTTAAAGAGCCCCTTAAACCCTTTTCTGTAGTCTCTTTGAGAATACTAGTAGTCCGTTAGAATGCTAGGGGATTTTTGTATTCTCCATAACACAGTAGTTCTGATAAGATAGGTGGTTCAAGACGGTGAGTAGTCTGTTTGGTTCGTTCAAATAAAGAAGAAACATGGCTATTGGCTATTCGTAATGTCAGTGTTCACTCGACTGTCGACAAAAGCAGGCCACTCTCTATGTGTGCCACGCGATCTTCTGTTTTCTCGGCAGCAATTATTGTGTGGTCATCCTCATTGTTCTTCATCAGCAGTTCTTTCGGTCGATAGGTCGTCGACTTTGGAAAGCAACCGTTTAGTGATGAGTGTGTGAGTGCTGACCACGTTTTGCGTCCATTGCTAGAATGGAAGCGCTTTGACCCCCGTTGGCGATACTGCCATACAATGAAACCACTGGAAGCGGCTCCAGTTCTGATGGAGGAGGCTTTTTGGATAGCGGAAGATAAAGTGTTTATTGTGTTGTACCTTTTCACTATAATTTTAAGATGTATTGTATAGTGAACAAGAATCCTCGGCCCTGTAAAGGTAATTCGGTTGAGCCTTATCAAATAAAATAATAAACAACAGGCTATTCGCAATGTAACAAAACACATGAAGCGCATCCAAGTGCTCATACCTCCATCTAAACGGCACAGTGCATCCCAAGCTAAGACACCCATCAGGATCAGGATCAGGATCTTGTGCTCGCAAACCACACAAAGCAAAACACAGCAAACCGGACGTGCAACGAGACAAATATGTATAATAATAAATTTGTTTGGTTTTCTGTTCCGTCTATTTTCCCAACGAGTTTTCATGAACATTCACATATATTTTTTTTCTTGATGGCATTTTTCGTTTACGCTTCAATTTCGTTGTTGTTTTTCTCGAGCAACACGGGGGTTATTTATAACTGTCGCGCCTTGGTACTGTGTTGCAACTGCATTATTATTAGAAGTGCGGCTTTTTTCCAACCCATAAGACATTCAAACTGCACGCACATCGTTCGGATTCTTGCGTTTTTACTCGGAGGTACTTTTCGGTCCGTTCTGAGTGAATAAGGAGAGCGAGAGGATTTTGCTCCTTAGTTGAATTATTGCTACTGAATGAAATAGTTTCTGTTCGATTTTATAGGGAATTATTCTCTTTCGTTTTCTAGGGGTTCACGCAATTTGAACACAACACCTATTAATAAATCAATCGGCGCACAGTAGAATAATGCTACTCAACGTTTCACTACCGGCCGGCGCCCACGCGTAATATGAACCAATCCGATGGGGATAAAGCGTTGAGTAACGAAAGGAAGAAGCTTGCCAATAGGAAGAAAGTTGGCCAGGTAGGAATATGATCGTATTAAATGGTTTTAATTGGCAATTTTAAAATAAATTTGTTACGTTTATCCAGAGCAAACATGTGCCTGACTCCCGCTCATCAACAGGAGGAACTGGTGGACTGCAGTCGTTTTTTCGTTGGTTCAGAAAGGACAAAGACCCGGATCTTGAACTGCCGGAGGTGGTCAATGTTGCCCATCTACAGCGAAACTTTTCAACTGGAGAACCTCAGCATGCTACGGGTAGTGCTGTGACCAGAGCGCAGCCTACTCCGAGTGCTACTCCGAGCGAGTGCTCTTCGGATGAAGTGAGCCAAAGCCAGAGCAATGGAACGCATAGCTCTTCGCCGAGTCCTAGTCCAGTGATAGACTGCAATAACTTATCGAAAAGTTCAAGCTGTGATAGTATCTTAAGCACGGCCACTACCGGGTTCGCATTTGTGCCACCGAACTGCTACGAAGCAGTCAGTAAACGAACGGAGCGCGTCATTAATCCTGGTCCATATACTGATAGTTATAAGCGACGCATTCAGGACCGGGATCGTACACGAGAGTTGGACAAGAAGTATGAGCTAACGCTGCGTAAGAAATACAATTTATTTGCACATCTTCGTCCTTCGGCTTCCGAAAAAGACGCTACGCTTACGAGGGATAATCAAAAGTCGGGTTACGTAGATCTCAGTTTGCCGAATGCTCCCAAGGGTGTGCTAGATAGCTCATGTGCTGGAGAAAACGAAGAAACCAAAGATATCACTGTAAAGAAACATCGCAGAACCGTAAGTGATAGCTCCAAAGATAAACGAGCCGGTGCTTACTTGCACGTCAAAGGTAAACGGCGTGCACCACCTCCACCTCCATTGAAACTTAACGCTAATACGAATACCCTAACGAACAGACCGAACATCGGAACGCTCACCCATTCAGGCTACAGTACTTTGTCTCCGGGATCTACGCTATCTCGAAAGAAAAGGCCTGCGCCACCGCCTCCAGTGTCACCAACATCTCCAACTCTGAACGAAGCCACGTCTTACACGAGCCTTCTTGAGGACAAAGAAATCAAAGCCATCATCGAGGGAACTCCTTTACCCCGAACGCCAGAACCGATCATGCCAATGAGAATTACTCCACTGCCGGGCATATCGGAAGAAAGAACCCCTGGAGGTTTAACCGAAGAGCAGAAACAACAACTGATCGACAACATTCGCAAAGTGCAAGCGCCCCCAGATAGTGATCCTCCAACTCCGACGAATAATCCACCCCCTACATTTATGCTAACCAACAACGACGTGATGAAACTGGAAGAGAACTTCATCAATACTAACGGAACACGATCACCAATCCACGATTATCTATACTCCGAAGCTATCAACAGCACGACTAAACCGAACGTTCCCACATCTCCGATATCACCACGACCGTGGTACAAGCGACCGATATCAGGCACGAAACATCAGGAAAGCACCCTACCTTTCAAGAAGGATATCATTCTGAAGACTATCGATAAGCGCAAAACCAAGCCCAAGGAAAAAGAAGATCTTCCCGAAGTCGGCTACTGCCGAAACTCGCTTGTAGACCATGGTGCCACTACCGGCGGACAAAGGTTTAATCTTTTTGCCAAGATAGCGGAAAAGTCTGATGACACCAAACGCCGCGAAAGAGACAGTGAGAAACGGAAATCTGGAATAGGGATTCCAAGCATTAGCGAACTGGATCGGGAAGCTGCCGAAATTATCCACAAGGAAAATGCTGCCAAGATGTGCGGCGAACAGCAAAGTGGCAATGAGCTGTACTTTTCCGCTCCTGAACAGCTCGTGAAACGTAGTCAGTCGTTTATGAAGAAAGTCGAACCAACACCGCAGGGCAGTCCGGAAAGAAAACCCAAGTCAACGAAGGAGTTGATTTCTAAATTTGAGGCGAATTCAACGAACATTAGTAAAGTGACGGTAAACACTTCATTCGTTCCTAAGAAGGACTACTTCGGAGTGGAACGAAAAGAAGTAGCGCCCACACCACCAATGCCAATCATTGTACTCGATAGGGAAGCCACACCTCCTCAAGGTATCGCCAAAACAGCAAGTGACAAGAACCTTCTTGGATTGTGGTCCTGTCCTTATTGCACCCTTGAGAACCCCAACTGGCGAATCATCTGTGAAGCTTGCGAGCGTATTAAACCATACGAAAAACTGAGCATCTTGGAAGAACCACCGCTAAGACCGAATCATCCTCTGAAGAAACCTATCCCGGAGCCTAAAAATCAACCGGAGCTTGACTCACAAGCAACCGGTACAGATGATTGGGACAAAAAGACTGAACGTGTTTTGAAGTACTTTATGCCCAAAACGAACCCGACAATGGGCAATGGATCCCTAGGAACACCGGAGGCTCCTAAGAAGTCTTTCGGACAAGCCAAGATGCTTGCTTCACCGAAGATGGGCGTCAAAAGTCTGATGAACGGCAAATCTCCTGATAAATCTAATGGATTCCGGAACTTTAACGCAGTCCCTGAGGGATACAATGCTTCCAATAAATTTGACGATGAAAAGCTAAAGGAAAACGCAGTGATTGTTACTACTACACCAGTTTTGATCGCTCCGCTGGCATTTCCAGAAGCTAGAACTGACCAGCTTGGTTCGAGCAAGGAAGCCATCAACTTGGACGAAGTTCGAAATGCCAGGATAGCCAGGTTTAGTACAAATCTGGAAAATGATAGACCTACAAGTCCAGTCAATCTATCGGCAGCCGAGACACACACGAAGGTTCCAGAAATGGACGACGAAGCGTTGGAGAAGGAAAAGGAACGTTTACGAGAGATGATACGGGCAATGAACGCCAAGGCATTGGCCGATAAATATCCAGTTTTGCAGAAACCACCCACCAGTAGTGGCCCTTCCAAGCGGGAATCACCTTTAGTGCAACGAAGGAATGGTTTCGTATCCGCAATTCCTGTCAGTACAAAAAGCCCCAAGCCAATGCGTAAAGCTAGTCCCACCATGGCTAGGAGGGCTCCACCTGTGGAAGAACATCCACCAGTCGTCGCGGAACCATACAAATTGGGAGCAATCAAGAAAACGTTCCTTCGGAAACCTGAAGAAGTCAAACCAATCACGCTGGACGAAGCGAAAATTATCAACCAAGAGATTAGGCCCTTACCAAGAGACGTTGTCTCCTCAGTAATTCCTGAAACGGTAACTGAGCTGAGTGAACCTCAGTTAGTGCTGACCAATGACGTTCAAAAGGTGCGCTACGAAGCAATGGATGAGCAGCAGTTTAAGGCTAGCAACACGCAGCGTACCACTGTTCCGCTGCAGAATCAGTTCTCCGATCAGCAGAACGAGAAGGTTCGTCAAATATCCAAACAGCTGCGCTCGGCTCAAGGTGTGGAAAACTTCAAAAATACTCTGAAATACGCGAGTACACCAATGAACAGATCCAACACTTTGGCGATTAATAAGCTTCTGCGGAGTTTGGAAATCGCCATCGGGGACGGAGCTCACGACCGAGCTGCCAAGCTGGCTGTGGATCTGGCCAAGATGAAGGTTTCTCTTTCCGTAACACGGCAAAGCCCAGCTGGATCGGATACCGGTTCTACGGGGAGTTTGACCGAGATTGTGTAGGTTTTCCTATAAATTTCATAGCGAATTTGATTTTTAAAGCTAGATATTTTCACCATAGCATTTCCATTTACATCAACGATAGAACAACCCGGAAAGGACCGCTGAAGATCAATGTGTCCACGTACACTACCCTGGCGCAGTTGAAAGAGAAGACCAGCAGAAACTTTGGAATACCTGCTCAGGTTCAGCGTTGGATTTACAACGATCGACAGCTGTGCGAGGAACACAGGACAATGTCTGAGTACGGAATTCAAGATGGTGATCAGATGCTGCAGCTGTTCCTTGTCAGTTTAGTGCCACGACCCATGTCGGAAGGTGCAGTGCAAACTCCAATAAATAGGGTGAAGGTGGAACAGAAGACTGCACCGTCGGTGATGACCGTACAGCCTCAGTTCAGTCATGCGGAAGCGAAGATGCTTACAGTTTCCGATTCGGACGGTGAATGTTCCGATACTCAAAACGATCCTCAGGCTGATGATGAGTGCAATCTAGGTATGATCGACATGAACAAAAATTAAAAGAACATCCTATAATGTTTGTTTTCGTTACAGGTGCCACAGCGCTTCCAACCATTGCTGAAGACAAGGGACCACAAAATGATACCGAAGAGGGATGGGCTTGTCCGCTTTGTACGTTGATCAATCCACCGAATCGTCCTGGATGTGGAGCTTGCTCGCAAGCGCGACCTTCGTCCTACGTGGTACCAGCACGCTATCGATCAATGGAAGATGACTTCATTCCCGAGGAACTGAAGCGATTCATTGAAGATGGTTTGAATAATTCAAAGCCAACGGTACAATTGAGGAACCCTCCCAAGGAAACGCGTAACGACCTCAACCGAGTGTCGAACAATCGCAAATCGTCGGATATTTTCAATATTCTATTGGATGAAACCAAAGCTACTGAAACGAATCCAGTTAAGCCGAGCACTAGCGATTTGCTAACTACGAGACACATTCAAGTTCCAGAACAGAAGAACATAGTCATGACGGCATTTACCAGTCCAAATATTACACGAAACAAATACCGTGGCGTGGACAACTTTAACCCTAATTCGTACAACGTCGGAAGTTCGGGAATACCGAAAGCCGATGGCCCAGTAATCTCAACCGCTAGTCCCATAGTGCGTGCCGTATTGCTGAAAGAGCACCCTAATAAACCGGTTAAATTTGGAAGAAATGGATTAGTCATGCCCGATGACGGTAGTGACATTACGAATCACTATATGGAATTGGTTAATTTGGATTCAGCCGATTTGATCGCAAACGTTGATCCATTCGATTGTCCCATTTGCTTCGGCCATTTCGAACAGTACGAGGGAATAATACTGCGCGACTGTTTGCACACGTTCTGCAAGGAATGTCTGGTGAATACGATTAACTATAGCGATGAAGCGGAGATCAAGTGTCCGTACATGGATACCACATACAGCTGTGAGAGTATAGTTCTGGTAAGTCTGCTGGGCTACATGCCTTGCGAAGTGATGAACGCCCAATGAGATCAACCCAAATTGGAGTTTAGTTTACTCATACATCCCAAAAAGTGCAGGAACTCAGCGATGAGTAAATTTGCCTTATGGTTTTCCTGGTTTTTCCAGGATAAAATTCTCGATTATGAGAAAAATAAACATTCGATTCTCTCAGTCTATTGCTACTACTCCTAGACTGAGTAAAATTTTCGTCAATTTCCCTTATTTTCCGGCAGATTTTTTAGGTTTTCCACAGGAAAACATGAGGCAAATTTACTCATGGCTGAGTTCCCGCACTTTTTGCGATTATGAGTAAACTGAATTTAAATTTGACTTAATCTCATTGGCCGTGTATGGCAGGTCGCTGAAAAAGGTGTCTTACAGATCACATGTTTTTCCTTTTCCTTAAAAGCAACGAGAAATCAAGGCTCTTGTAACCAAAGACATGTATGAAGCCCACCTAGCGAAATCGATACGCCAAGCGGAGAGTAAGCTAGACAATACCTTCCACTGCAAAACGCCCAACTGTCGTGGTTGGTGTATCTACGAGGACAACGTAAACCAGTTCAAATGTCCTGTGTGTACGATTGTAAACTGCCTGACGTGCAGGGTGAGTTTGGTATTCTATCAATATGTGAATTTTGGTAGAAACTTTTTTTTTCCGCTTCAAGGCAATCCACGACGGGCTTGACTGCAAGCAATATCAAGATCGAATGAACAGCGACTGTGATACGAACATCGAAGCGAGAAGAACCAGAGACATGCTTCAAGAGATGGTCGACAAAGGCGACGCACTTATGTGTCCCACGTGCCAGGTTCGTAAATGTGACAGTTTGAAATCCTCCCAACGAGGACCACTAACCTATATTTCGTTTGCACCTTCCGCAGGTTGTCATGATGAAAAAGTGGGGCTGCGACTGGCTAAAGTGCAGTATGTGCAAAACAGAAATCTGCTGGGTGACACGAGGTCCTCGATGGGGTCCCGGTGGGAAGGGAGACATTAGCGGTGGGTGTCGCTGCGGGGTAGATGGGAAGAAGTGCCATCCAGATTGTAACTACTGCCATTGAAACGTTTCAGAGTGCTACATCTCTGTGACGTACACTATATCGATAGATAGCTGTATTGATAACATTAATGCCAAAGATGATGATTTGATCGAATTGTACCGAGAAGATTGTGAAGGTTGAAGTATTTATGATACCCAAGTATGCGTTAAATGTTTGGAATTGTATTCGACGGAAATAAATGATAAAAACTTTAGAAAGATTGCCATTATTTAAAAGGATGTCAGTAGTCTGTAAAGGAATTTATATAAGGAAATATGAACAGAAAGATCACTCCATGGCAGCACTATACTAATAGTAAGAAACCTTTAATCAGCATTGCTAATGCCAAAAGCCTTTAATCAGTGCATTGAAAACGAAACTAACTCAGGGTGAGTCATTTTTACTCATTCGTATGGAGAAATTCTAAAATCTGTAACAGGTGGGGCACTCGCTGCTTAGCACTAATGAGACCCCTCTCTACACTGCCTCAGGGTCGGCATACGCGTGTGACTATCGCGGCCAAGAAAACACTCAAATACTTTTCGCACACACAGTTTATTCAGTTTCACAGAAGAACCTTTTATTTCCCTTAACTTACCCACTTTGTTATCAGCTATCTTCTACCCTCGCTTCTACCTTAGCCTTCGCTAGTTTCTTCCTTCGTTGATGGGGGCCGTACCGCTACACTTTCACTTTCTCCTTCCGTCTACTTCCGTCCTTCGTCCCTCGGTTTGGACTGTGGCTTGCCCATTCGATACACCTCTTCCATTCTCCTCTCTTACTTCGGGGTTGACCGCACCGTATATTAGAACGACGGACACTACAGGGTCTGACCACGCCGAAGATAAATTTCTAATGGTAAACTACGGGGCCCTGTGGGCACAATAGTATACCATGATGGCGGTTAGTAATGAGAACAAACGGTTTTGCTTCATGGGTTTTTACCTGAATATTTTAGTAGGTTGCCTCCTCCTCCAATATTGCTCAAGTCTCACGTCTTATCACCTGCAGTCTCGTGCAGACTTATCACCTTTTTTTTAACTTTTCGTAAAATGATCTTTCACTATATCTCGATTACTTTTTCGAATGGACGTATCAGCATCGTCGATTTGACGTAACTGGTAGTTCGCCCATGCATGCTAACACTACCATCAGATAGGGGAAATCTTCCCTACTTTATAGTGGTGTTAGTAGAAAAAATTAAAAGAATCCATTTTGGATGATAAGGAACAGCAGCAACAATAGCTGCAGCAGTGGAACCAGCCGCAACAATGGAAGCAGTCGCAGCCGTGGGAGCTGCATTATTATTTCGTGTAGCCGTGATCGGGGCTGGAAACTCGGTCACGACACAGACAACGTAAGTTTTATTGGCACCACTGGCACAGACGAAGGGTTAACTATCAATATTGTACGACCTTTTGCATGCCGTTGTGTTACATTCAACCGCGCGCATTTAGTGGTTTAAAAATGTATTATAACGAGTAATATCCCACGGAAAGTGTAGTTATTATGTTATAGACTACCCACCTCACCACCCACAACCGTTTTGAATCGAAGATTTTCAAAAATTGCAACTTTAATTGGGAAAATACGACGATTGAAACCCCCATAGAAGTTAGCCCGAATAGAAATTGTAATGTAGGAAACATCAGCAGACATCTTCAATACATTAAATTTTAACGTGTATTGCTGTACCTTTAATGTATTCAGACTTCAGTGTGACGTCCAAGTACATAAAAATACATTAGCCTCAAACGTTACATCAGAATCAAACGTCTTGACGATGTAAAATTTGACATCAGAATACATCCAATGACAACAGAACCTAACGTTACATTATTTATTTATTTATTTATTAGTCGTCAATCAGTGTAGACCGTTTTACAGTTTTACTTAAACGCTAATTGTTACAATTTTACTTCAATTACTTGCATAGCATTTATATTTTATTATTGATGCCTAGCTAACCTCGTGAAGAAAGTTTTTTTAAGCGTACTTTTATTCATTGTTATGTCAATATATTCACAGTATGTATTATAGCAAGACATTATTCTATTCAATGGGCTGTTTTTGGCATAGTCTGTTCTTTGATTGTTGATGCTAAACAAATTTCTATTCCGCAGTGAGCGAGTGGGAGCATAAAAATTGATATTTTCCAAAATCTCTGGACTGTTAACTCTTTGCGAAATCACATCGTTTATAAAAGCAATCATTGCGAACTCTCTTCGCTTTTTGAGCTCATCTAAATTAATTAGCATACAATGCGGTTTACATGTGTATCATGATATGGAGCCCAAACTATGCTACAATATTCGAGAAGAGGCCTCACATATGCTACGTAAAGTGTTTTGATTGTGTAGGGATCATTGAAGTGCAAACTAAATCTTTTAATGAACCCGAGCATGTTGCTTGCTTTGTAGATAATGTTATTGTAGTGATCAGCAAAAGTTAACTTGGAGTCGAGGATAACACCTAAGTCTCTGACTTGATAGGATCTTTGGATTGTTTTCTGGCCAAGAGTAATTGTGTCGTGTATTACAGCTTGCTTTCTTGTGAACGATATAGAATTGCATTTATTAATATTTAGTTCTAACAAATTTTTCTTACACCATGTGTAAAAAACGTCAATTTCTTGTTGAAATATTTCAAGATCAGGTGCTTTAGATATCTCCATGAAAAGTTTCATGTCATCAGCATATATAGAAACATGAAGAAATTTAAAAATATGTTCTATATCGTTGACAAATAAAATAAACAGTAATGGACCAAGATGTGAACCTTGTGGCACACCAGATGTTACATTAACTATGGTGGACAGATTTCCTTCAAATCTTACCTTTTGCGTCCGCCTTGATAAGTACGACTCGATCCATTTCAGTAGCCTAGGACTGAAGCCTAATTTGGATAGCTTAAAAAGCAAGAGTGGTATATCAACTCTGTCAAATGCTTTACTGAAATCAGTATATAGCGTTTCTACATAATTTCCTTTATCCATTGAGTTTAAACAGTATGACACAAAATGTATCAAGTTGGTAGTTGTAGATCGTCCTTTAACAAATCCGTGCTGTTTGCTAGTAATTACCGACCTAATATGTAAGAATACATTGTCATTAATGATGGATTCGAATAATTTAGGAATGCTTGATAATATAGCAACTCCACGGTAATTTTTTACATCAGACTTTTTACCACTTTTAAAAATTGGAATTAAAAATGATTCCTTCCAAATCGGAGGAAGTACACTCGACTCCAAGGATAAATTAAACAGCCAGAACAAAGGTTTTGCTAGCTCCTTCGAAAGTGACTTTAAAAAAATAGGTGGTAAACCATCCGGTCCAGCACCTTTTGAAGCATCCAAGGTTTCAAGACCACGTATAATTTCCTTGAGAGTTAAATTATCCACTGCGATGTTCTTCATTGGCTCGGGGAGATACGAAAAATATTGATAATCTCGCTCATTCTCATCATGAATTGTATAAACGTCCTGAAAGAAGTCAGCAAATAAGTTACTAATCTGACTAGGAGTATTGCCCAACTTACTGTCTAATTGCATTTTGGATGGAAAGCTCTTGGATTTTTGCCTTTCTTTAACATAGTTAAAAAAGGATTTTGGGTCTGACTTAATGTTAGTTTCAATCTTTCTATTGTGCTCTTCATATGCATTTTCAATTTCTAAATTAAGTTGGTCACAAATAGTAAGATAATAGGTAAAATTTTCATCATTTTTGTTTCTCTTGTACGCTTTATGAGCTTTCTGCTTTCTGTTTCTAAGATTTATTATCTGTCTATTGTACCATATTGGTGTTTTTGCATTGGCTTTTTTCTTTTGCTTCATGGGCACTGTCTGTTCTAGAATAGAATAAATAATCTGATAGAATACATCAACTGCATGTTCTGTATCATGACTACGGATTACAAGTTGCCAATCTATACTGTTCAATTTATTTTTGATAGCTCCATACCCAAGTAACCAAAAGTTCCGCATTCAACGATTAAAATCACTTTCAAGCTCCGTAAAGTTCAAATAAAGTTCCGACCGAACCTTCAATCTTTCTATTGTGCTCTTCATATGCATTTTCAATTTCTAAATTAAGTTGGTCACAAATAGTAAGATAATAGGTAAAATTTTCATCATTTTTGTTTCTCTTGTACGCTTTATGAGCTTTCTGCTTTCTGTTTCTAAGATTTATTATCTGTCTATTGTACCATATTGGTGTTTTTGCATTGGCTTTTTTCTTTTGCTTCATGGGCACTGTCTGTTCTAGAATAGAATAAATAATCTGATAGAATACATCAACTGCATGTTCTGTATCATGACTACGGATTACAAGTTGCCAATCTATACTGTTCAATTTATTTTTGATAGCTCCATACCCAAGTAACCAAAAGTTCCGCATTCAACGATTAAAATCACTTTCAAGCTCCGTAAAGTTCAAATAAAGTTCCGACCGAACCTTCAAGTTCCATAAAGTTCAAATAAAGTTCCGACAGAACTTTCAAGTTCCATAAAGTTCAAATAAAGTTCCAACCGAACCATCAAGTTCCATAAAGTTCAAATAAAGTTCCAACCGAACTTTCAAGTTCCATAAAGTTCACATATAGTTCCAACAGAACTTTCAAGTTCCATAAAGTTCAAATAAAGTTCCAACCGAACCATCAAGTTCCATAAAGTTCAAATAAAGTTCCGACCGAACTTTCAAGATCCATAAAGTTCACATATAGTTCCAACAGAACTTTCAAGTTCCATAAAGTTCAAATAAAGTTCCGACAGAAGTTCCATAAAGTTCAAATAAAGTACCGACAGAACTTTCAAGTTTCATAAAGTTCAAATAAAGTTCCAACCAAACCTTCCAGTTCCATAAAGTTCAAATAAAGTTCCAACAGAACTTTCAAGTTCCATAAAGTTCAAATAAAGTTCCGACAGAACTTTCAAGTTCCATAAAGTTCAAATAAAGTTTCGACCGAACCTTCAAGATCCATAAAGTTCAAATAAAGTTCCGACAGAACTTTCAAGTTCCATAAAGTTCACATATAGTTCCAACAGAACTTTCAAGCCACATGAAGCAATCCGCACAAGTCTTTATTAGTAACTAAATTTAATGTACGTAAATATTAAATGATCAGTGGTCCGAATAAATCATAATTCTTATATTTATGCAGTGCATCAACATTCTATTAAAACATAAAAAAAAATTAAAAAGTAATTTCCTGGATTCGAACCCGTGTATTCGGCATGCGATCTACTAACGCTAACCACTGCGCCACAAATGTGTTGGAATACCATGCGGGCAAATACCAATTTCAAATTCATCAAGGTATTGTGTTTCGTATGCAAGTCAGTCAGCTGGCACTGAAAACTCCAACAGTAGGCGGGACAACAGCTCGCTTTAATATATTTCAGATGACGCAGCGGTTCGTGCTGGGGCTCTCACGCAGAAGGACTGGGTTTAATTCTTCAAACAGCTCAAAAACTACTAATGCTGATAAATCAATACACATAAATACCTGCCTTTAGAAATAACTTTCATAAAAGTGCGAACTAAACATAGAATTTGGTGTAGAGGGCAAAAACCTTTTTTAATTTATTTTCTAAAAGTTCCGTTCAAGTTCCGCCAGAAGCTGCTTAGAATTCTCTTCAATTATGATACCGGAACTTTCAAGTTCTTATAACGACTTAAAAATGAGGCTGCTTAGAATTCTAAAGACCATCACTAACTAAGCTGCTTAAGCCACAAATGGCCTTTTATCAGAACTTTTGGTTACTTGGGTAGTCTGCCTTACTGAAATCGAAATAGGGGTCTGACAAATTATTATCCACCATTGCGGTTTTTTCAAGTATCATTATGGAATATTCAATAGCAGTGTGGAACACTTCATTTTTCCAAAGAGGAGAAGGTGACTCTGATACGCAAAAATCGTCAGTCATGGTAGTAAATAGCAAATCTAAATAGCAGTTATTTTGATTTTTTATATGATTTACTTGATTCAATCCAATTTCTGCGCATTTTTCAAACAAAGTATGAAGTGTTTCATTTTCCCCCATAATCGGAATCAAAATGGATTCATTTTCGTCATCTACAATAAAATTAGCTGCCCGTTGATTAAAATCTCCGTATATGTGAACGTTTGCTTCAGCCTCGAATTCCGACATAATACTGCTAGCAAGACCAAAAAATTTTTCAAATGCTTCTTTTTTAGCATGTTCTGGTGGAAAATACACAACCGCGAAAATATGAACACGATCACCAATAATTAATTTGACCCATACATGGTCAAACTCCTTGTTCTTGCAAGATGAAATTTGCTCAGATTCATACTCCACGCTAACTGCTATTAACACACCTCCACCGCATTTTTTGTTGGATAATAATTTATCGCGATCATCTCTATAAACATTAAAACGATCGCCAAAAACTTCTTCGTTATTAATACTAGAATCCCAACTTGTTTCTGTTCCTAAAATCACAGGAAAAGTGCAAGCATTAACTTTCTTGTAAATCTCATTCACTTTGGTGGCGCTTCTCATTCTATTAAAATTCTGACAGTAAATGACCAACTCCTTACTTTCATCATTACGATGCAATTCCAAATTTTGTGCTTCAGTACTAGGCGGCAAACTAAAACTATTTAAATTAATTACCTCTCCTTCCTGCTGTCGAGAGGTCGTCAAATCGTGAAAGTTGTCCAGTTCTTCAAAAACATTGTCATCGTTGGGACTTTCCTCTAGATGACTCGTCAATTTAGTCGAAAACACGAATGCCTGCATGAACTTGAACATGCCTCACATGCAGTAGCTGAAATCATCCGGTTAGGCGCAGGAATGGTACATGGAGATTCGCTCTCCGGATATGGGTTTAGAATTTCACCTCGATGAAATTGCATCGTTGGACGATAATTAGTCGGTGGCCTGGAGAAGCGATCTTTCGCTACTGCAAGAAGCTCTCTATCAGACGGAAGTAAGTGGGCGCGATTCAGTCCAATGTTTCTGCTTAGAATTAAAGAGCCTGAATTTATAAAGAGGTGACATCTTATCCATTTGACAGGTCTTCTGCTCGATTGGAATGACTTTTCCTATGACTTTGACAGACAATCGATTGTTCCAATTTTGACATGTCGTCTCTTTATAAATTCAGCCTCTTTAATTAGAATCAAACTTCATCACTTTTTAATAGGCCTTTTTAATACGCCTTTTTAATGCACCACCAACGTAGAGTGCACCACGCGAGTTCGAGAAGAAACGTCAGCCAAGCCGTTTGTTTACATCAGAATAAGTATTTTCCCCAACGCAAATAACAGTATTTTTCATTCAAAATCTTGCCAATTTCCATCGGTAATTGTCTTATTGTACAATTTTCCACAAATCTGAACTGATTTGCACCTTAACTATTCACACACAAGAAATCCGGAAGATCATAGCCACTAAGGCACTTCTCTAATTTTCCATTTTTCTCAACAAAAATATTCCTGAACACCAGCAGGATCTTTTCCAAAACGTGACAGAATTAAATTTTTCAACTGTAGATTAAGTTTTACAGCATCTCAGATGAATCAATTTATCAAGAAAAGTAAAAAAGTGTTCCACTTTCTATGGCTCAAGGCAAAAATTTATGCTCACAACACTCTTTTTGACGTTCTCCTATTCACCACCAGAGGATGAATCGATCGTTTAGTTTCTATTAAAAAGGCCTATAGAAACTAAACGATCGATTCATCCTCTGGTGGTGAATAGGAGAACGTCAAAAAGAGTGTTGTGTGGAACACTTTTTTACTTTTCCTGATAAATTGATTCCTCTGAGATGCTGCAAAACTTAATGTACAGTTGAAAAATTTAATTCTGTCACGTTTTGGAAAAGATCCTGCTGGTGTTCAGGAATATTTTTGTTGAGAAAAATGAAAAATTAGAAAAGTGCCTTAGTGGTTATGATCTTCCGGATTTCTTGTGTGTGAATAGTTAAGGTGCAAATCAGTTCAGATTTGTGGAAAATTGTACAATAAGACAATTACCGATGGAAATTGGCAAGATTTTGAATGAAAAATACTGTTATTTGCGTTGGGGAAAATGCTTATTCTGATGTAAACAAACGGCTTGCTTCACGTTTCTTCTCGAACTCGCGTGGCGCACTCTACGTTGGTGCACTGTAACTGGAAAGTACCCATTAATGGGTGAAAAAGTGCCCATTTCGAAGTAAAGTAGGTAAACTCATTTAATGGGTAAAACGTCTTTACCCATTAATGGGTAAAGACCTTGTACGTCAAATCATGGGGTACTTTTTTACCCATTTTTAAATAATAATTGGCTTTATAAAATGGGTACAAAGTACCCAATTTTGAAATCCTTAAACCAGAATTTTTCTTTTAGAATTTGTATGATTTATGGATCATTGAAAGAGCCACAATGAATAGTTAAGAATACAAAACGTTATTTATATTTATATCTTTATTTCACCATTTTCCATCCAGTGGTCTTTCCATCGTTCGTGCAAGAAATGGTGCTCCCAAATCTCTCCTGGGATCTCCTTGCTGATCCGGCTAGTTCTGTCCCTGCAAGTTTCAGATTGATTTTTAGATGTGGGCAGAAAGAAATAAAATAAGAAATACCTACTTTTCAAACGAGCAATTTCCATTCGACATCGTTAAGACACTTTGCGACTGAAGCGAGGACTGGAAGATGTTATCTAAGTTGCTTTTCACCCATTAATGAGTAAAAAAGTACTCATTATTCTCGCCCGAAGCGCTCTGAGAAATGGGTAAAAGAGTACCCATTATTTGAAATTGAACTTCACCCATTATTTGACAGCCTCATATAGTCATCAAAAATGGGTCCTTTTTTACCCATTAATGGGTACATGGCAGTTGCAGTGTGGTGCATTAAAAAGGCGTATTGAATTCAGTCGCTGAGTTATTGTAGTTGGCCGTGTTGTTAGTTTACGAGATCAACCCAAATTTTCAGTTTAGTTTACTCATAATTCGGGAAAAATGCAGGAACTCAGCGATGAGTAAATTTGCTTCGTGTGTTTCGGTTTTCGTCAATTTTCCACATTTTCCGGCAGATTTTTGAGGTTTTCCACAGGAAAATATGAGACAAATTTACTCATCGCTGAGTTCGCACACTTTTTGCGAACTGAACTCAATTTTGGGTTGATCTTATTTGCCGTGTTTGATGAAGAGAAACCAAGGCTGTCGCTGTTAATCAGATACGCTCCATTTCAGTATGCAATTGTATGCGTTGTTAAGGCGCGTCCCTACATATATGTCAAATGTTTAGAAGTTTTTTTCAAGGTTTTTCTTCAATGAGTACAAAGAGAGGTGCAGAAGATCGTGAAATATGGTAATAAACCAAAAAATCAACGTAAACGCAAGTAGTGACGTCACTAATTGCTTGTATCGTACAGGGGTTTTACTCACACAACTTAACCGATTGCTTCAGACTCATCCCTTATATAAAATCATTGCTATACACTCATTGGCCCGCCGGCAACGTAAACAAAAGGAAGCAGTGCAACGGTCAACGCAAATTTGGTTCATTTTCGAAATTTCATGTTTATTTGGAAAGGAATTAATAAAACATGAGTTTGTTTTTCAGCTTGTTGAATTGTGACAGTGAAAACTAGTAGAAAATGTCTTGCACTGCTGACGAAATTGCTGAAAAACGGAGGATTGCAATCGAACGACTGAATGCTCGAAAGAATGCATTGAACAATAACAACGGTGTCGTCACGATTGCCGCCACCGTTCCGAAGCCAGCTGCTCCCACGGTTACTTCCCCGTTTCCTGCCAAGCCAATATTTACTCTTCCTCCGAAACAGCAGCAAGTGATAGAGGCCCACAAAAGTAGTTCCTTCTATGGTACTAATACGACTAATACTAGCAGTAATACATCGGGTCCGAACTTAAAACAGATCGTTACCAATGGCGGTAGTAGTAGTGGTGGGAAAATCAAAAATACCTTGAACAATGCTCGTCCACAAACGCAACCATACGCGAGGAACTCTCCCGTGAGCAATGCAGGGAAGGTGGCGCCTGTTTTTGTACGGACGGTTACCTGCTCCTGTGCGATGGTATCGGAGTCAAGATTCATCGTTCAACCGTCCACATTCAATGATAAACTGATCGAAGTGTTTAAAAGCATTCCCTCGAAACAATACGGTAGGTATCTGTGCTGCTGCTTTGGTATGCTTTGAAGATTAAATCTTAACGATGTCATTTCAGATCCCCGCACAAAACACTGGACGTTTGACATTAGGGATTATGCGTTAGTTCAGGAGAAGGTAACGGCATTAAATCCGCACGTATCGATTGGTTTGATTCCGAAATTCGTGCTGCGTTATTTCAATGGGGATCCGAGGGCGAAGCCAAATCGGACCTGCTTGGATGCTATTGAACCATCATTGGCTGGAACTTTAATGGAATTTCAGAAAGAGGGTGTTTGTTTCGCCATAGAACGAGGTGGTCGTGCCCTGATAGCAGACGAAATGGGGCTGGGAAAGACCTATCAAGCACTAGCCGTGGCTGATTTTTACAAAGAAAATTGGCCTCTGTTGATTTGCACGACGGCGTCCACGAGAAATGCGTGGGCTACGAAGATACGGCAATTGTATCGATACGTTCCGGTCCAAAACATTATTACGCTTCAGGGAAGTCAGGACCAGATTGGTGATGCACGTATTTTGATCTCTAGCTACAGTTTGATGGAGAGGTGCGCAGATAAGCTCCAGGAACGGGGATTTGGGTTTATCATCATGGACGAATCTCACACGTTGAAGAATTTTAAAGCAAAATGCACGGCCGTTGCGCAAGCGTTGGCCAAGAAGGCCAAACGGGTGATCCTTTTATCCGGAACTCCAGCATTGTCTCGACCGGTAGAGCTGTTCAGTCAGTTGCAGATGCTGGATAGGAGTTTTTTCAACTTTAAAGAATACAGCACGAGGTATTGTGCAGGGAAGCAAACAAATTTCGGTTGGGACGCCAGTGGGCAATCGAATTTGGAGGAACTCAATCTGCTGCTAGCAGCGAGGTTCATGATTCGTCGCACCAAGCAGGACGTGATGAGCCTGCTAGCGGAGAAAAGCCGAGAAACTGTGATATTGGATTCGTCGTTGTTGAGTAAAAATGAGGAAGCGGAGGAAAACTTGAGTAGCTACGCGGCAGATTATTCGACGAGTAAAGGGCGCCAACGGGAGGACATTCTTTTCCAGTATTACAGTGCCACTGCAGTAGCGAAAGCTCCGGCGGTTTGGTAAGACGAGCATTTTTGTTGGTCGATTGGTAAAAGAGCATTTAATTTTGTGACACACACTTACAGCGGATACTTGAAGCAGATTATAAAGGAGAAGCAGAAGTTTATCATATTTGCACATCACATTCAAATGCTGGATGCGATATCGAAGTACCTCAGCAAGCAAAAGGTGGATCACATACGGATCGACGGAACCACCAGAACAGATTTGAGATCGGTAAGTTTTAATTCTTTCGAGCAGTGATGCGGACGGATTGAAATCAATTTATTAAACAATGCTTATTCCGATTCAGCAACTAGTGGACAAGTTCCAAACAAAGGAGTCCTGTCGCGCCGCAGTCCTATCTCTGAAGGCCTGTAACGCCGGTATAACCTTGACAGCCGCCCAGTTGGTTTTATTTGCCGAACTAGATTGGAATCCAAGTGTAAGCCGGCTTATTATAAAATCAACATAAGTTAACGAAAGCCTTATCGATTCCGGTATTTTCAGATCTTGGCGCAGGCCGAAAGCCGAGCCCATCGAATCGGTCAGGAGAGTGCCGTCGTTGTACGTTACCTGTTGGCCAAGGGAACGGCCGACGACATCATCTGGACGATGCTGCAGAAGAAACAGAACATCCTGAACAAGGCTGGTTTGTGCAACGAGGATTTCTCCGATTCGACCAACGTGGATGCGCCCTGTTCGGCGGGGAATATTGAACCATACTTGGAGAAGCGATCGTCCACTTCCGGGACTCTCGACCCATACGTTACTAGTGGACCAAAACCCAGTGCGAGTGCGAGTAGTGTAGCCAAGACTGATAGCAACAACGGACTTCAAAGTATGTTAGACGACGGAGAAGATGACGATTTGGCCGGGTTGGAATTTTGAAAGTTTAGGATATTGTTTTTTTTATGTTGTAAATCAACTTTATTATAAACGATAAATCTGTTTCTTATGTGAAAACCTTTAAACTAACGAATTCCTCAAATGTTCATAGTCGGCTATGAAGTTGCCTACCAGTGTGGCGTCCAGTCGGGATTTTGCGCGTTCGAAAACGTTTGGCATGTTTTTGGGATTGCCACCGTCTTTCTCGAACTTGATGTAGTCGATCCAAACGGAGCTGTCGGATGTTCCAAAGTACTGAGTAACGTTTTCGTGGCACAGTCGCCACTGGTCGGTGTTCGGTTGTGCCTGAATCGATTCCAGCTGGGCCATTTTGCGGTGAAGCTCCAAGCACGGACAACAGCTTCTCTGCATTTGACGGTACTGCTTGCGGGCGGCATCGATATCTTCTGTGATTACTAAAAATTCCAGATATAGCGGCTGGAAGTGAACGGAAATAGCTGGAGTTTGATTTATTGCTTCTTTGAACGTTTTTTCCAGCCTTTGGTGAAGATCCGTTCGGGTATGATAGTACTGGAAACGAACAATCCAAAGTGGTAAAACATCTCCGGTGCATTTATTCAAAGACTTTTTAAACACCGCATCGAATTCTTCAGCTGAGGCTTCTTTTCGGGCAAGGTAATTCAGATGCAGCTCCCAAAGCTTGATGGAATTGGGATATGCGCCCAGAGCTTTTTCCAGAACTTCAGTTACAAAAGTGTCCTGCGGTTTATCGGTATGAATCAACAGTTTCAGGTACTGCGCGTATTTGTCTTCTTCCAGAAACCCAGTTTCGAAAGCTTTTTTGAAGGCAACTCCAAGAACTCTACGGCGAAGTTTTTGATGAGATGACATATCTTCGTTGAGTTTCAACATGGCATCGATGTAATGAGACCACATAACTTTTGTTGGAAGTACTTCGACGGCCGCTTCATAAACTTGGACGCAAGCCTCAAGGTTCTCTTTGAATGGATTGTCACTTTTCATTTCTTCGTCATTTTCAACCTTCACCAAATGTGATCCACGAAGCGCCAACATAGCCAAGGTGTCCCACATCAGTTCTTTCGCTGCAAACATTTGCTTCATTTCCTCCAAGGCCGTAATCCCAAAACCTTTCGTTACATCACTATCTTTCAAGCTGTTCAGAAGCTCAACGAAAAACTCCAAATCCTGATCCCTTGCCTTGTAGTGCTCGTAGACCAACCTAAGAGAATCCAGCGCGCGATTCAATGACGAGTCCTCTTTTTCCAACAAGGCCACAACATCTTCCTCCGATGATTCCACAATTTTCTCCACCTCCTGAAATTGCAACTGCAGGAAATTCAAATATAATTCCCGGCACTCCGGATGCCGTTGCAGGCCCCGGAACATAAAGTGCCTGGCCCTATCCATATTATTCATCTGCTTGTACTCCCAATTCGCTGCACTGATCCACGCTTTCGGCTTATCACCATGATAGTTTAACATTTTGTCCAACGTTCTGGAGCCTTCCGGCCCGCGCTTATGTTTCTCACAGTGCCTCAGGTAGTGCGTCCACAGTCGGTACTCCGCGGGAAACCGATCCATCGCCCGTTTGTACAGCAGCTTTATTCGATTGTATATGCTGTATTCCAAACTGTGCTTACCCTCGCGGACCCGCAGCTTCTTGCGGCGCTCCTTCAGCAGTTCCAATAGATTGTTTTCGTAAACAATGTAGTTGATGAAATCCGGTAGCTCCTTGGACCTGCGTTCAACCTTGTGTTCATGTTGGAAGCGCTTGGTTTTTATGCCGTGGATTTCGTCATTCGTGAAGAGCTTCAGATGTTTCATGAACTCATACTCCTGGATGGATAATTCGCGACGTTTTTCGATAAATTCACTCATTTTTGCAAGAAAATCACGGAAAAAACTGAGCAACGAAACCGGCCACGATTGAAAAACACGTGAAAATCGCAAGAACACATACGGGAGTAGTTTGTTTTGAAATGGAATGTCAAAATAATACCTTTTCTGCTGCATGGGTTTCATAGGTATTCACGCTATTTCAAAACTGCCCAAATTTGGGTAGAATCCATCCAGAAAGAAAACGGGACTACCCATAAAATGACTAAAATTTTACACATTTATGAGTAATTGCTAGTACAAAAATGAATAATTTTTTTGTATTTATGAGTAACAGATACTCATAAAAGGTGTAAAAAATACACATAATTTAGCTGCAGTCCCGTTTTGGCCGAATATGCATAGTTTAAAGTCAAAATTAAGTCGTTTACAGTCATTTTTGCGTATTTTGCGGTTTCCGTGTAAGGCTGTGTTCCATTTAGGCTCTGAACCATTTGGTGGATTATTTTAACTTTTGGTTAAAATTTGACAGATGAAAAGTTATTGATTAACCCTGCTATCCGAGCATGGTTATTTCTGACAGACAAGAAGTTAAATTTTGACAACCGTGGCTCGAAAACCGGTCGATCGACAGCACGGGGATTTTCGAACATAGAAAATAACTTTCGAAATGTCACTTTTAACCACGAGTTAAATTTAACTCGGCAAATGGTTCACAGCCTTAGTAAATTTTCATTAAAAGTTGCCGCTTCGAAAGTGAATTATGATGTTCGAAAATCCCTCTGTTGTTGACCGGTAGATGTTCGAGAAGGTGTTTTTTTTTTTAAATTAACCACTTTGTCAAGCAGTTTTGGCGTGACTTTCTACCAGCGATTTCACAAAACTGGACCAATTAATATCTATTTTGTTTATGAAACGCACAAATGTTGGCTACTTTTCTCGTGGTTCCAGAAGAAAAAAGTTCGAGTGGTAGTAAACCTCGTTTAAACTGCTCGAATGAAGTGATTAATTGATTTATTTTCTGTAAGAAATAAGTCTGCTGGAAGTGACTTATTTCTGACAGACAATAAATCAATTAAAAAAAAAAAACACCATCTCGAACATAGACCGGTCAACAACAGAGGGATTTTCGAAGCGTCAAGTTTAAGTGAAAATTTACCAAATGGAACATAGCCTTAGTACACTATACCCAACTAACATTTTCAGCTTTGTAAGTCAACTTTTCCAGCATTGTGCTGTAAAGTAGCTGAAAAGAAGCTTCAGATACAGCAACAAGCAAAAGCTAGCAAAATAGTTTTGGAGAGCGTTTACTCAACTTTCTCACAACCATTATTCAATTTGTCAGCCGCACTGAATAACATCAGCCAATAAACGCTAATGTCACTTCTATACACACACTACCCCACTTTCAACTTGTAGCTGCAAAACAAAGCTAACAAAGTGAATATATTACTCATTTGATGGCTTCTACATAACCAACCAAGCTGAATAACATAAACATCAAAAGTGCTTTTTCAACAACTAAACAACCTGTACTCAGCTTATAAACTGTGTTGGAGCAAATTCGGAAGCATTTTCACAGTCAACTAGGTTTATTTTTAGACGTGTGCAGTTTTACAGCTTTTACTCTGCTCTCTTATTTAGTCGAGACTTAACTAGTCGAGAAAATTGATTCATGTGTACTATTATAAAGCCTCTATTCAGCGATTTTGTTGTAGAAGGGAATGTTGATTTGTTTACATAAGTTCAAAGTGTTGGCGTAGCACAGTTGGTAGTGTCAACGTTTGCCAATGAGGTCATCTGGAGTTCGATTCTAGGTTCCGGTGCAGGGTAAAAAAGGTTGAATAAGCGCCGAGAAAAGGTTGAATAAGCGCCTTTCAAGTTCACACACAACTAAACAGCAGGATAACAGCTGTATAGAAGCGTTAATGGATATGCAATAAGAGCTTCTCCCGACCGTTCCAACAGCCATAAGTAGCTGACTAAGTTCGCCAGATTTGCTTGTATAGAGGTTGAGTAAAGGTTTCCTCATATCGTATAACTTTTGAATACAGCTTGAGACTGTATAAATGAAATGAGTAAAGCGTTTACATTGTGAAAATTGTTAGTTGGGTAGTTTGGAATAGATGCGAACATATTTTGCAACCCGATAATATTTTAGCTTAATCAGTTTTGATTGCAGTCAAAATGAAAATATTTGGATGTCCTGTCAAATAATAAGGCTGTTCATGAGATAGTTCCAGATTTTTTTTAATAAAAACTATGATCTGAAAATTGCGTTCGACGAAAATTTTCATAGTGCTGGAAAATCGCATGGAAAACAAGGGAAAACCATTGCCTGGTAATGAACATTTTTTCAATGTTTTATTTGTCATGCTTGATAACTTTTTTTGGTTAAAGAATTTTAGAAAATGAAAGGATTTTTACTACTTGGTGTTGTATAAGGTATGCGGAGAAGCTTTTATTCGACGTTCATGAGTTGTAACAGAGCTTATTTGATACAATTTTGGATTACTCAGCGTTTATTAGACATCATTCCCAAGTAACCAAAAGTTCTGATAAAAGGCCATTTGTGGCTTAAGCAGCTTAGTTAGTGATGGTCTTTAGAATTCTAAGCAGCCTCATTTTTAAGTCGTTATAAGAACTTGAAAGTTCAGGTATCATAATTGAAGAGAATTCTAAGCAGCTTCTGGCGGAACTTGAACGGAACTTTTAGAAAATAAATTAAAAAAGGTTTTTGCCCTCTACACCAAATTCTATGTTTAGTTCGCACTTTTATGAAAGTTATTTCTAAAGGCAGGTATTTATGTGTATTGATTTATCAGCATTAGTAGTTTTTGAGCTGTTTGAAGAATTAAACCCAGTCCTTCTGCGTGAGAGCCCCAGCACGAACCGCTGCGTCATCTGAAATATATTAAAGCGAGCTGTTGTCCCGCCTACTGTTGGAGTTTTCAGTGCCAGCTGACTGACTTGCATACGAAACACAATACCTTGATGAATTTGAAATTGGTATTTGCCCGCATGGTATTCCAACACATTTGTGGCGCAGTGGTTAGCGTTAGTAGATCGCATGCCGAATACAAGGGTTCGAATCCAGGAAATTACTTTTTAATTTTTTTTTTATGTTTTAATAGAATGTTGATGCACTGCATAAATATAAGAATTATGATTTATTCGGACCACTGATCATTTAATATTTACGTACATTAAATTTAGTTACTAATAAAGACTTGTGCGGATTGCTTCATGTGGCTTGAAAGTTCTGTTGGAACTATATGTGAACTTTATGGAACTTGAAAGTTCTGTCGGAACTTTATTTGAACTTTATGGATCTTGAAGGTTCGGTCGAAACTTTATTTGAACTTTATGGAACTTGAAAGTTCTGTCGGAACTTTATTTGAACTTTATGGAACTTGAAAGTTCTGTTGGAACTTTATTTGAACTTTATGGAACTGGAAGGTTTGGTTGGAACTTTATTTGAACTTTATGAAACTTGAAAGTTCTGTCGGTACTTTATTTGAACTTTATGGAACTTCTGTCGGAACTTTATTTGAACTTTATGGAACTTGAAAGTTCGGTCGGAACTTTATTTGAACTTTATGGAACTTGATGGTTCGGTTGGAACTTTATTTGAACTTTATGGAACTTGAAAGTTCTGTCGGAACTTTATTTGAACTTTATGGAACTTGAAGGTTCGGTCGGAACTTTATTTGAACTTTACGGAACTTGAAAGTGATTTTAATCGTTGAATGCGGAACTTTTGGTTACTTGGGTTGCTTCCTTAAATAGCGATGGTATAAAAATGTATAGACGCTTGATTCTCATGTGAAGTAATGTTTAATTAGACACTATTATACATTTACTAAACGATTATTCAATAACGCGATAATTGAGCCGAAAATAAGAACGGGAGAAGAGCAGGGTTGTTTCTCGTTAGTGATTGTTGCCAATATTTCTGTCAAAGCACGCACCCACCATACAAATATACTAGGAAATTTATTACTTACATACATACCCATGCCGTAGCATGTCTTAAATCTAGATTTGAAAGAATTGAACCGAATACTCTGAGGATAAGGAGATTTGAAATATGATTTACGATACAAATAATTTACTATTGCTAAGGCATCATGAGCTTATTCCTATTCAACTTGATATCAGCAGTGTAATTATACAATTATTGAAAACAAAAATTATGATCAAACATAGAAATTTATTGAATAATAACAAAGTTGATAAACAAAAAAATGACCAGACAATCTTGGAGATAAAAAAAATCAAACTCTAGGGAAATGTGACTGTTTCTACATTGAATATATTTTCAGCCGGTAGCAGGTTTGTATCTTACCATCGACAAACCGGTATGAAACTTAAACTTAACTCTTGCGCGAAAATCTATAACGGCCGAATCAAATGTGCAGCAATTTGTCAAAACCATAGAAATTTTATCTAGATAAAAATAATTCTGGAATCAGGGCGTAACAGCTTTTGTAAACAATGACTTCTTTCGAAGATTTCTAGAAAGTTAAGGCTCGCCAACGCTAATCAACGACACCATTGAGTAAAGGAAGACTTCCCCTACCCGACGCTTATGTTTATGTTTACAGCTGAGCTTACAGCTTCTCCTTCACCATCGATTTGCCGCAATATTTCCTCCATTTCACACTTCATTGAATCACAAGTAACACTTTAAGTAACGCAACTGACGACTTACTCTCTACCAAAATGGCTGACAATAGATCACATCATTCGAGCAGTTTGAAATGACGTTACCTACCAATCGAACTTTGTCATGGAACAATATTATATAACACTTTCTTCTAGATCCTCGAGAAAAAAGAGTCTTATTTATGCATAGCTAGAAAAATCTGAAATTTATTACTTCTATTTCTAGAAATCACTGGTAGAATGTCGTCTCAAAACTGCTCGACAATATGATTAATTAATGTGCACAACTGACAGATACTTTTTCTTATTTTCAATTGCCGATGTTCGTCACTTTTCATTACCGAACAAGATTTTAACGAAATCTATGGTAAACCATTATTCAACTTCAGTAAATACTTTCATAAAACCGAAATTTATTAATTGTATATACCTATATTCAGTAAAAAT